TCCTTATTTTTGGATTTCCTAAAAGCATTCGGAGTGGGTTTTTTTAAACATTTTTTCAAGGTTTAAATTCTTCTTTTCTTTTTTTTCCAATAGATTTTTGTTCTCTTTCTTCTTTAGATTTATATTTCCTTTTTTAATTTCATTCATTTTTTCTTTCGTATTCAATTCTTTGTTACTTTCTTTGTTTCTTTCTTGACGTCAATTCTTTTCTCACCTTCTTGCTTTCTTTCTTTATTCTTTGTTTCCATTATATATTATTCACCTACTTTCTTTCTTTCTTTCTTTCTTTCTTTCTTTCTTTCTTTCTTTCTTTCTTTCCATTCTATGTTTAGCACCATTTTCCTTTCTTTCTTTTTTCTTTCTTTCTTTCCATTCTGTTTCGCACCTTCTTTCTTTCTTTCTTTCTTTCTTTCTTTCTTTCTTTCTTTCTTTCTTTCTTTCCATTCTGTTTCACACCTTCTTTCTTTCTTTCTTTCTTTCTTTCTTTCTTTCTTTCTTTCTTTCTTTCTTTCTTTCTTTCTCCAATATTTATCACCCCTTTCTTATACTATTTTCTTTTCGTTTTTGTTTCTATTTAAATTTCGTACACACATGCCTAATTTCACCACCCACCCACCCATATATATATATATATATATATATATATATATATATATATATATATATATATATATATATATATGTATAATGTGTGTGTATGGTTTGTAGAAGGTTTTGCAGGTGTTAGATGAAATGATAAATTTGTCAACTACTCAAATTATCTCCTGATAAGACAAGTAGTAATCTATGAATAAAATCGGAATATATTCACGGCGGAAAACAAACACGCACACAGTACATACGGGCATATATTCAGAATTGTTAGTGTTCTTTATATATATATATATATATATATATATATATATATATATATATATATATATATTTATATATATATATATATATCAATCAAAGCATTTCCGTATTTAAACACACACATATACACAAGGTTGGGTCAATAAGTCCCTACCCTGATACAGTTAGTAGTTAAATTTTAATCTGAAATTGTCACTCAACAGGAGAAATTATACGCATTGACGGCACTTTGAATCAAGCAAGATATCAAGCAATTTTGAACGAATCTGTTTTACCAGCGGTTCGAAAGATGGTTTTAGATCGAGGCTGGATCTTGCAACGGGACAATGATCCGAAACACCAAATCAAATCCGCAAAAAGATTAGGTACGATAAAAGGAATTGCAAGTCTCAGAATCGCTTAGTTAAAGTTCTGATCAAAACCAAATTAACAAATCTGTGGTTCAAATTAAAGAACGCTGTAACTGCAAGAAACACGGGTAATATCGAGCAATTGTGGGAGTTTTGCCATGAAAGAATGGTCATAAATTGACTCTCGCTACTTCTTAAAAACATATAGAAAAAGACTGGGTGAAGTCGTGACCTCATAACGAAGAATCACCAAATATCAAATGTAAGGGATCACTTACTTTTGCACTTCTTAATTTATAATATATATATTTTTATATTTGATATATATATATATATATATATATATATATATATGTATGTATTTATGTATATTTATGTAAAAATATGGATATAAATGACAGTATGAAGAAAAAATATATAAGGATTTTGTTTGTTTTTCCGTATATATTTTTTCTTCATATATATATATATATATGTTGTGGTAGGATCCACCTAATTTGCATATATATATATATATATATATATATATATATATATATATATATATATATATATATTCCAGCTCGATAACAAAATTTGGAAAGCGATTGTAACTCAATTAATAAAGGTTTTTCTTAATGAATATATAGAATATTATAGTATTAAGATTCACTGATTATCTGGAAAAAGACACAATTTTTAATATTCTTATATGTTCACTTACGTTTGTGCAGCATTATATATATATATATATATATATATATATATATATATATATATATATATATATATATATATATATATATATATATATATATATATATATATATATAAATACATACACACACACACACATATATATATATATATATATATATATATATATATATCACTGCTATAAACGGACAAAAATTAATTTTATTATTACCGCTCATGATAATAATAAAAAGTAAAATGAATTTCAATTTTTTCATTTTTACTTTTTTACTTTTACTTTTACTTTTATTATCATCATGGGTGGTAATAATAAAATTAATTTTTGTCTGTTTATGGCAGTGATAAAGTTTCGTACCACAAAACATATCTTTAAATATATATATATATATATATATATATATATATATATGACAAGGTTACCGATACACTACAGTGGTCATTGAACAAGAAAAAGGTGAACAGAACAATATAAAGATGTTAAACGTACCTATCAAACGCCTTCACGAAAACCAAACTTTCATATGCGCCAATATTGGATCTGCCAACCTAATCATCAGGCGATCCGGGCAGAGAAAAGTAACAGTTAACGTTACGCAATATATATCTTCCATATATTGTTTAACGATATATGGTGCAACCAGAGCCGCCACTCATGTCCTGCCTTTCCCAGGTGAGGCGTCTAATGATTGTTTTGGCATATCCAATATTGACGCATATGAAATCTTTAGTTACGTGAAAATGTTTGATAAATACCCATAATCTCTTTCTCTCTCTCTTTTTTTTTTTAACATACAACGTGTGATACCCTGTCTTCATCAGCCGCCGACCAGGGGTGATCTCACGGTTTTGGTGGCTATGGCGGGACCGCCACCCCTGGCGCCACCAGCAACGTTTGCCACCAAACAATTAGTTAGCTTATCTGCATACCGCAGATAAGCTAACTATTTGTTTCTTTAAGTAAAATCTATCTGCAATGAAAGTTTCTTGAACGCGTTTGTCGTTATTGACGCGCTCGTAAAAGTCGTTATAGACGACCACGCAAATATCTCACTTGCGCATGTTAGGTCGGGATGTTGCGTGCATTCTATTTGCTTGTTTTGATCTCCACCAAATCCAACTTGACGCGTGTTGAACAGTTTTTTGAAGGCGATGCGAAACGCTTTTCAACCAACGGCCAGTGATGCCTATTTTTGAAAGGAAGGAAATGACCGAATGTCCCAGAAACCCATTCGGTCATATATATATATACGAAATAGGCTACCTGCTGAAAAACCTAAAACGTTAGACAAGAAAAAAAATCACAACTAAAAAAAAAATGCACCAGAAGTTAAATACCTAAGTAGTAAACTAAAGTGCTCCAAACAGAGCTAAAACGCTTTACAGCGTCAACCTTCATTGGGTTACAGCTCCAGTCGCTACCTAAGTTTCACGCTCTCACAATCTTAAGAGTTTTATACTATGCATACTGATTAATTCCGACTTTTTATTTGACACTAGTATCGCTGCTCAAACTTAATATAACAAACTTTTCCTCTATGTTGTGTTTATAATATCTTTTCTTCCATACATTTTCAATGGTTCCAATGTATAACCTCTCCCCATTAACTTCCGTTTTCGATGAACGTTTTTTGCTATACAATTACCTTCCATAGGACAAACGCTTTTAGGAAGGCCGTAGCTAGAGAGACTATCGGAGGAACAAAAGACTAAGTAGGAGAAACAAAGAAGAGGTATAAATACTCATACATTAAACGGAAGAACTTGAGTAAATCAAGTACTCCTCAAATAATATTTATTTCTGTAAACAGAAAAATGTGGCACAAGACAAAAGTGCAGCATGGGGAGGGCTGTTCATAAATATTTATAAAACTACCAATCGTCCATGAATTGGATATTGCTGTCAAATCTGGTCTGGTACTTCTGCTATGCATTTAGAGACTCGTAAGAAAATACAAAGAAGAATGTGCAATGTTATTGGTCCTGACCTGGCATCTTGGCTTCAGTCATTTTCCCACCGCCATAATGTATTTTCTTTTCTATCAATATGTTTTGGTAATTGTTCTGATTAGCTTTCCTCTTTAGTATCTAGACTTTATGAATTTTAGTACCGTACTAGTTTGACAGCCATGTCTCAGGATTTTACTGTTGAAATTGCTAAATGTAACCGTAAGTTCTAGGCTAACAGTTTCTCCTCTTGCACCTCTTGCCTGTGGAACTTTTTTCTGGAGTCGGGCTTTATTGTCACCTTTGGTACTTTTATCGTTCGCCCTCCTTAATAATGTTTTTCTTTTTCTCTTATTCTTTCACAATCAGTAACCCCTTGCGTCTTAGAGGCTTTATTACCTTGTTTATTAAAAAAGGTAAACTAAATGACACCGTTGGATACATGTTTGTTTTATAGGTTTAACAACCTGTGATAGTAGCTTGTTACTAAATATATTTCAGGCACTTAGTGTCGCCTTGTTTCCGACTAAAATAAATTTAAATAAGTAGTGTATGCCTTTGGTTTGAACTGTATTCAGGTGTAACATATGTAGTGATTATGTCAAGATTTTGTGTCGGATAAGCACTCTTGGCAGTTAATTCGGAAATGACGAAAACAAAGTCTTAGCGAGGGGGGGCTGTCTCTGTGCTTATGTTTTGTTTAACAACACAAAAGAAATTTCATTATTAATCTTTTTATAATTCTAGCCAATCTAGCATTTCAGCTTATAAAAAAACGTTGTGTTCTGAGTCACTTCAGAGAGATGAAAAAAAGCCAAAAGCAGTTCTTTTTTTTCCTGTGAATATTTGCCCACCCATGCTATACACGGTTTGTTTCCCGCCTCAGTCAGACAAATCTACAAAGCCCAAAGACACTCAATTTCCCGTGGCAGGGGCATACAAGCAGTGAGTAATATATTTCTTTCTCTTATGATTCTCTTACATACGTAAAGTTATAGAAAAGCTTTTATTTACATGCCTACCATCAAAGAGAATTCGTACTAAAGCAAATATCCATCATCAAATGAATTTTATACACATGCACATATGCAACGTAAGTTTTCTATTCACATGGATTTTAATTAATTTACTTGTGCATTCTTACAGCCTATTGACTTACGACCATATCGCGCTGAAACACTGGTTCTCGTACGATTGCCGAAGTTAAGCGATGTCGAGCCTGGTCAATATCTAGATGGGTAACCGATTGGGAATATCAAGTTCTTGGATATGCGCATGGTGTAATACCAAGTTCTGTAATCTTGGATGTGCGGGTGGTGTAATAGATAACGGAGAGCCGAGTTCGAATTTCAAGTGGGTTCGTTATATTCATTTACGTGCAGTTACTCTTGGGAAAGTTATGAGCCAACCTCTTCTCCGTCCAGCTATGGGTTAATTAGTATGCCTTAAATCATTATTATCTCCCCAAAATTCTTATAATCTAAAAAAACATTTTCTGGCTTTAAATAACCAAACAAGTCGATTAATCAGTCTTACACCCCATTCTTCGTAGAATATAATTTTGAAAAATATATTGTTTAATATTACCCAGTTATAGGCTAAAGAGAAGGACAGACTGGGTTCTATAGCCTTGGTTGGTAGCCAGTCTACAAGAGAACGAAACGGCAGCCTGCTGCGGGAATTCTTCTGATTAGTCAGTTATGAATCGAAAAGTAACATGATCTCCCAGACCTGTATCAACCATGGTACGTATAGAAGTTTAATATATCATCGTCTTTATTTCTTGTATGTTTTATTTCTGAAATAAAGAACGTTTTATGTTTTTCTATATTATTTACAGTGATGAATTGGTCCGTGTTTTAGCAAACATACCGAATCTATATTTTAGATCTTACTTCTTTAGCCTCGGTATTTTGTAAGTTCTAAATTTGTCAATTCGTCTTGGTTGATCATATGGTTTTATTCATGTTATTTTCGGGTAAAACTGTCAACTACTTTCACCTATTTTTAATACTAAAATTAACCCACTGCAAGGCGCCACTCAAACTAGAAGGTTATTATTAAAAATGGTAATGATGAATGTTGTGCGTGATATGAATGAAAAAGGGGGAAAGGGAGCAATTGATCTTTAATTTCAAGAGGTTAAGATTGCAATGTTCAGCGAACTACACATGCGGGAATCTGTTCCACAAAGTAGTAGTTCTAGCTTTCTGAAAAGACTTTCTTACTTTTGGAACATGGAGGAACTGAAGCTGATTGGTCTCCGTGGAAGTGGCATGTAGTGTCTTAGATGTAAAGGTCTGAACTGGTAAAAGTAAACAATAGAGATTATCTTAATATTAACCATGGAAATGGCGATAGGATTGCGACCTTGAACTGTGAGAAGGAGACTGCAGAGTGGAGAATAAGCCTCCCACCCCCGCACAAAATCGAAGTAACGATTTTGAAATCTATCAGAGCTGAAAAGGGAGGATAGAGCTGCTCCAACCCAAAATGGTAGTAAATATTCCATTTTACGTCTATGATACTTTTGCGATATTACTGAGAGACGTTTAAAACGAAAACAACACTTTGTGAATTGTCATTCCACAGTTATCTGCCCTTTCCTTGTGAGAGAATTTTCGAAAAATCAACTTTCAGTTTTCAGATATCCTCTTCGCAACCATGTCTATGCCATTGTCGTATACTGTTGACACTCACCCATTTTTTAAAAAAAAACATCTGAAAGAAAAAGCTTAACCAGCGATGTTGTTAGACTGGTTTAGAATATAATGAGGCCTCAAAAGCAAAGAAAAAAAAAAAGAAAGAAAAAAAAGAAAGGAAAAACAGAGGCTATGATCATATTATCACATTCTAGTATCTGTTCCGCTACCATGACCAACTAAGACAAGCTTTGTACCCGATCCCGCGCAAGCTGAGACTGAGTGTACGTGTTCGGATTCCCCACGTTAAATAACTGATCTTGTATCGCATCCTGCGGGCGACTCAGTTATGGCCTCTATCTGCGGACAGGGGCGCAGCTGAGGAAAATAATACTTAGAGGTGCCCGGCTCTAGGGAACAGCTGCCAGAGATTGGACCCTCTCATTACACTACAGAGTGATCCGTGCTCGCCACCGAGGTCAGCGCAACCGACGGTTTATCATATCTCAGTTGAGTCTCTGTCTTCGGACAGAGTGCGACTTACTAGTGTCTTCTGTCTGCGGACAGAGGCGTAGTTGATAAAATAAAATTATATTAAGTGCCTAGTCCTGGGGAATAGCTGCCCGAGGCCGCAACCCCCCTTACACTAGAGAGGGGGATCGATAATCACTACCTGGCCCGAGTGTACGCGCTCTGGTCCCCCACTTAAAACCCAACCTCAGTGTCACATCCCGTCTCAGTGAGGAGGCTTGGGTAAATACTACAAGCGTCCCACTGTCAAAATGACTAGGATGAAATTGTAGCCCACGTCTCCAGCCATCAGCAGCAGTTCCAGCTACTTCCTGTCGCTTCAGCCACTCTCGCCAGCATCAACGTCAGTGTCACATCCCGTCTCAGTGAGGAGGCTTGGGTAAATACTACAAGCGTCCCACTGTCAAAATGACTAGGATGAAATTGTAGCCCACGTCTCCAGCCATCAGCAGCAGTTCCAGCTACTTCCTGTCGCTTCAGCCACTCTCGCCAGCATCAACGTCAGTGTCACATCCCTTCTCAGTGAGGAGGCTTGGGTAAATACTACAAGCGTCCCACTGTCAAAATGACTAGGATGAAATTGTAGCCCACGTCTCCAGCCATCAGCAGCAGTTCCAGCTACTTCCTGTTGCTTCAACGTAATGCAATAACCTGTCCTTTTCAGCATAACGCTCTTCAGCAGCCATAAAACTGTCGTTTTAAGGACAAAGCTCTCTAGCGACTACCAAAAATATTCTCAGGACAAAGCTAATCTCACCCTCTAGATGAAAGTATTTTTTTGCCTAGTGCACTGTAGCATTATTTTTGGCTATGTATTTTCTTTAACAAAAATAAACTTGCTAATATATTTTTTACTCAAGCTTTCGTTTTGTTGTTGCTGTTTTCCGTCATTAAATATCTGTTTGCAGGCCTATATATCACCCGCAGCACCATTTTATCTCCAATTTATTCTCTTTGTGTTTTGGAGTTGTGGTTTCCTTTCCCCCTTTTTTGGCTTGCATTTTTTCTCCATTATTGTCCACCCAACCTTTCTTCCACAGGTGGGATGTGGCGAGCCGCCTCTCGCTGATCTATCGTTAGTTTCATGGAGAGAGCTCGGACGTAGGCAACAACGAGGTTTTGGAGGGAATGGAAACAAAAAGGAAACATACTTAACATCAGGAAGAGGCAGTTGAAGTTTCTGGGGCGGGAAAGAGGACTTGGAAAATCTGATACTCACAAGACAGATTGAGGGCAAGAGGGAGAGAGGAAAGCAGCGCGTAACCTTCTTGAGGAGCTTGAGGAAATGGATGGCATAATAGGGTCTGGGAACAAAAATACAAGGCTTATTAAGAGCTACAAGGGACAGGAAGATGTGGAGGGCCATGATCCTTGGGGATTTAGCGACATCTCAAGGGAAAAAAAACTGGTGCATTATAATTTTAGTTTTCTCTTGTATTTATCATTAATTTAATTGTATTTATTTGTTTAACTTTCAGCCTTCCATTTTAGAATCTTTTTCCCACTTGAGTTTACCAGAATAGTTTCACTGATAAGATTTGTATTCTGGGATCAGAAACAAGAATAAAGTTTTTTTTAACCATTGAGCTTTTGATAAAAGCAGCGAAAAATAGAAAAAAATAAAACAAAAATTCGTTTCGTTTCCCCTGCCTATTGACAAACTATTCTTTTTTTTTATTGTTGAGTTTGTTCCTTTAATAGTCTAATGTTGCTAAAGTTTTGCATTTGAAATATCTTCATTGTCATTACGACTTATTGTGAGTTAGAAAAATACATCGCCGCCCGAGAGGAGTTACTTGAGGAGACCAACCAGCGGAGCCGCTCTGATGGAGCTACTAAGAGTGAAGTGATTATAGCTGTTTAATTTATTAAACTATATTGGGTCAAGCCTTTGTGAAAAATTACAATTACTTGAGTTTTAACTCATACTACATAAAAAACAGAGTGGGGCCTGAATGTGATGTAATCGTGGCCAACTTGAAATTTAGTAGTCAAAATTAGCTTTATAAAGATATATGTACATTCGCGAGGGATGGGGCTTAAATATTGTATAACCAAAAAATCTTCTTACATTTTTATTATTTTCGTTATCTATCTATCTATCTATCTATCTATCTATCTCAAGGGTCGGCGACCTACGGATCCGGCCCGCGAAGGCATTTTGACCGGCCCGCGAGCCTGATTACCAATGACTCTATTTTTAACATGAGAGACGAGGCTTTCAAATTCGACAAAAGGCCTGCTGTTATCTTCCTCTGATCCACCCAACCGAATTTGAATACTATGACCGCAAAAAACACGATCAAAACCTAATCACCTCCATTTCAGCGTAAAAAATAAAAAAAAAATAAACATAAAACAAAAACTGAGAGCCGATTTGACCGACCAGCGACAGCTTCAAAGGGACAATGTTGTCTCAGTCAGCTTTCTATTTCATTCCTCCAACAGCGACCCCCCCCCGCCATCGCAGCGATGTAGCAGAAATCTAAAGATAGTTAAACATACGCGCATTATACATACATGCCTCATGAATGTGTGGATAATACCGCATGTGTACGTACGTAAGTGTATATGTTTGCAACTATTTGTACTCGCATGTATGGGTATATGGGCTTCTTTTTTGTTCGATGTGTGTGTGTGTGGTTCGTTTGTAGAACAATTTTCAATAACAGTTTCAAACTTACACGTCATAATTTCATCCATTTCACTTCGGTTGATTTTTTTCACTTTGAAGTATTTTGACGTTCCTTGAGGAAAAGTAATTTTTGTTAGGTGTTTTTTAATTTTAATTTTTTCTGATTTCTCAATGTTTATTTTCATTATGGTTTTAAATATTAAGGTTGACAGGGGGTCTGCATATGTAATTTTCCTTAATTTTTCATTAATGGCCTTCGTCCGGCCCGCGACCCGTCATTATAACACGATCCGGCCCTTGCGGGGTCGAATGAGTTGCCGACCCCTTGATATGAACCGTCAGATTTTAGCGAAGAGCGTCCTGCTTCGAAATTCGTGGACTGGCACTACAAAATCAGAAGCAAAAACTGTACCCAATAACAGAAGCTACAACATTTGAAGACTATCAACAGAA